TGTCTCAAAATGGAAAGAGGGTCTTCGCTCAGGAGCTTGCGGGGCTCATTGACAGGGCTTTAAACCAGATGTGAAGGGGGAGGGGTAACATATCAGGCTTGCCGGTGACAAACTATGGGGTGATACCCAGTGGTTGGAGGGAAGGGGTGCTAGTACAGGTTCTCAGCCAGTGAAAACAATATAAGGGCAGAGCAAACTCACCCTGAGTCAAAGCAAACATCCCTCCAGTGCAGGACTGTGCCAGCAGTCAGCACCAGATTTTAGGGGAAGAAAGAAGGGAAGTATAGTGACACTCTCTCCCCTTGGCTCCTACAGAAGCCACTGTGCTGCTGGAAAGCTATGACCTGATTTCCCTTACTGAAACTTGGTGGGATGAATCCCCATGACTGGAATGTGGCTATCGATGGCTATGGGCTGTTCAGAAGGGACAGGTGAGGAAAGAGGGGTGGAGGTGTTGCCCTCTACATCAAGAAATCAGTTCAGTGTGGAGAGCTGTCCCTGAAGAGTAGCCATGAGTAGGTCGAAAGCCTGTGAGTAAGAATCAGAGACAGAGGCAACAAAGGGAACCTTGTGGTCTACTACAGGCCACCTGATCAAGGGGAGCCTGCCGACGAACCTCCAGCTCCAGGAGGCTTCACGCTTGCAGGCTTTCATCTTCCTAGGGGAATTCAACCACCCTGACATCTGCTGGAAAAGTAGCATGGCAAGCTGTAAGCAATTCAGGAAACTCCTAGAATGCACTGAGGGATAACTTTTTAAGCCAGGTAACTGACACCCCTACCCAAGGGGATGCAATACTGGACCTGATGGTCACTGATGCAAGTGAGCTCATCAGTGATGTCAAGACTGGAGGCAGCCTGGACTGCAGTGATCATGCATTGGTGGAGTTCACAGTCCTCAGGGATATAGGAAAGGTGAGGAGTATAGTCAGGACCCTAAATTTTAGGGAAGCCAACTTCCAGCCTTTCAAGGAGTCCATAGGACCCCCTTGGAAATGGTTCCGGGGACAGGGGACCAGAACAGAGCTGGCAGATCTTTAAGGACACTTTCCATAGAGCGCAGGAGCTGTCAGTCCCCAGGTGTAAGAAGTCAGGCAAGGAAGGGGAAGAGACCATCATGGCTGAGTTGAGACCTGCTGGTCAAACTAAAGGGCAAGAGGGAACTGCACAGGCAGTGGAAGCGGTGACAGGTATCCTGGGAAGAGCTATAGGGATGCTGCCTGGTTGTGTAAGGAGGGGGCCAGGAGGGCCAAGGTGCAGCTAGAGCTGAACTTGGCAAGGGATGCTAAGAGTAACAAGAAGGGCTTCTGCAGGTATGTTAACCAGAAAAGGAAGGTTAAAGAAAGCATCCCCCCCCACCCCACCCCCGATGAACAAGAATGGCAACCTCGTATCAACAGATGAGGAGAAGGCTCATACATACTGAAAAACGTTTTTGCCTCAGCCTTCACTGGCAGCCTCTCTCCTCACCCTTCCGCAGCTGATGGACTGCAAGATGGAAACCAGAGGGGCAAAGCCCCTCCCACTGTGAGAGAAGATCAGGTTCAGGACCACCTAAGGAACCAGAAAGTACAAAAGTCTATGGGACCTGATGAGATGCATCCCAGAGTCCTGAGGGAATTGGCTGACGTCATTGCCAAGCCCCTCTCCATGATATTTGAATGGTTATGGCAGTCAGGGAAAGTCCCTGGTGACTGGAAGAAGGGAAACATGGTGCCCATTTTTAAAAAGAGTAGGAAGGAGGACCCTGGGAACTACCGACCTGTCAGCCTCACCTCTGTGCCTGGGAAGATCATGGAACAGATCCTCCTAGAAGATATGCTAAGGCACATGGAGGCCAGGGAGGTGATTCGAGACAGCCAGCACGGCTTCACCAAGGGCAAGTCCTGCCTCACCAACCTAGTGGCTTTCTATGATGGTGTAACAACAAGGGTGGACAAGGGAAAACCAATGGATGTCATCCATAGGGGGTAGTGGTCAGCGGCTCAAATGTCAAATAGACACCGCTGACAAGTGGTGTCCCTCAGGGATCCGTACTGGGACCCCTACTGTTTAACACCTTCATCAATGACATAGCGAGATAGAGTGCACCCTCATGAAGTTTGCAGACGACACCAAGCTGAGTGGTTGTTCTGGTTCTGGCTGCAGCCGGCAACAAAAGAGGCATGCAGCC